CTTGAACTGCTCTGCCAGGAAAACATGGTTTTCTTAAGCATTACAAACTGCTGTTGGAGGTATAAAGCCGGCCAGGATGCTAACTGTCCATGAGGGGGGGGAAATGACTCTTCCAACCCTCTCCCGAGCTTGGAAAAGGAATAAGGGTGGGTGATCTGGTTGTAATACCAATTGGCCCCGGAATATCCGTTGCTAAGCAAAGATGGCGCACCAAGAAGAAATACCCGGCTTGATAATTAAATTGGGAAGTAAGAGAAATAAAATCGCAGAAGAGACAAGCTACAGTCTTAACAGGTTTGCTACTTTGCAGAGACAAGTTTATCAGCAGTTATCCTGCACACACTACACCCCCACCCCCATAAAAGGGAGCTTTCCTTTGGTTTAGTTGCCATTTCTGGCAAAGGCAAACTAGTTGCTGGTCCTCCTGAAACCACGAGTCGGTCAATAGTGCAGAGCATAGCTCGGGCATCAAGTCGTCCCCTGGGGTCTCGGCTGTCACCCGTGCTGCTTGTTGGGAGGGCGGAATGATGGTGTGGATTCCTTCCTCACGGTGACTATTATATCGCGGCATTTCTGACAAGACATCTGCCTGGATGTTTTTACCCGCAGGGATGTACTTCAATTGGAACCGAACCATTGAAAATACTGTGCCCATTGGACTTGCTTTGCGGATAACGGCTATGTCATCTGGAGAGCCTTCAGGTTTTTATGGTCGATCCAGACCTCGAATGGATTTATGACCCCCGTCCAACAGATGCTGCTACATCATAAACACCCAGTGCAGAGCAAAATCCTCCTTCTCCCAATTAGCCCATCTTCCCTCTATCTCTGCAAGGAACCATCCACCTGCTCGAACCTAACTCGGTTGGCCATCTCCCTCACCCAGATCTCTAAAGTGGCAACCTCTGATTAGCGAATGAAGCTTCAGGTACACCCCGTGTCTATCAGTGCCCCTTACTCCGCACACTGTGCTGATTGGGGCCCCGCCATGGTGATGGGAATGATGAAAAAGATGGATGGGGTCGCTTACAATTGGGCGCTCCCGCCTCTCACCCTCGCTGTTGTAAGTCACCGCTGGGAACTTCCCCACCGCCATCACATCCCCCTACTCGGAGGTTGTCAACAAGGACTCCGCCTGCTATGTTTCCCGGGATCTCTCTGTCAGGGCGGTTGTGTGTTCTTGCTGGTAACAGTAGCAACTGCGGTAACAAGGCTGTGCATTCAGCGGTGCGCTGTCCCATTTGGCTACACTGGAAACACCATCGTAGAGGCCGCACAGACATCCCCGGGGTACTGGGGATGGCATGCATTCCGCCACTCGGCCTCTCCAGAGCCTTCTGGGCCCCTTGGGTCAGAACGCCTGTAATCCCGCATCCAGCTCAATGACTGCCTGGAACCTGTTGCAGCCAACACAGGAGACGTCAGTAAAAACAAGCCTGCCGTAGACCGTGGCCCAACCCTACCCTGAATTGATGGACCAACAGCCTTTCTGGCCAGGACCTCAGCTTGCTTGGCAACCCGATGGAACCTCTGCACGTATTCCAGTTGGACGGCCCCTTTGCTGCTAGGAGGTCTCCTTCCGTCTGCTGTGCGCGAGAATCATCCTCAAACTAGATCTGAAGCACATCCAAAAAAGGCCCATGTTCACCAGCTACCTGGCGTGCTTGCTATGCATGTTTGCCACCTTCCAGCACCATAGTGTCAGCTACCACCATTGCCCACTGAAAAGGATACAACTAATTGATTAGCTACCCAATAATTTCTAATATTTGGAAGACCCAGCCCACCCTTTCTAAATGGTTCATATCATAATGCTTTACTTATTCTTGCTCTCTTACCTCCATTACAATACACCTCTTGATCCGAGAATTTAATTGGGATCATCCGGAAAAAAAAATTGGGTAAAACTTATTTTTATCATTGCAATTCTTCCAAACCACGATAATCTTACTTTCTCATATTTATCTATTTTATCTTTTATCTTTAACTTTTCATAATTTATTTTCTTTAACTCTTGAATGTTTCTGGGGATGTCAATACCTAAACATTTAATACTATCTACCATTTTTAATTTATATTTCCCTTTCACTATCTCCACTTCATCTTTACTATGGTTATATAACATCATTTCTGATTTTTCCCAGTTTATTTGTAATCCACTCCATTTCTCAAATTCATTCAGGTGTAAATATATCCTGTCTATAACTACAGGATTTTGAAATGTTAATAATGTATCATCTGCACGAGTGGTGGGTTTCAAAATTTTTTAGAACCTCTTCTGTAGGTGTGGCCTGCTTTGTGGGAGAGGCTTGCCATCCATGTCACCAGATGGGAGTGGCTTGGCAGTCATGTGACTGGATGGGCGTGACTAACTTGTAAAATGTGGTGAAACTCACTTAACAACACTCTTGCTTAGCAACCAAAATGTTGGCTCAGAAACTCTGGCATTTGAAGCATGGAAGTCTTAAAGCGGTCAAGTTACAAGACCCTTGCACCCCTAACCCTTTAGAAAAAAATAAACCCAGGGGTGTTCAAACTTGACAGCTTTAAGACTTGTGGACTTCAACTCCCAGAATTCCTCCTCTCACTCTTCATCTTGATGATGTGCGGACGGGCGGGGGGGGGGAGGGAGCTGGAACCAGTTCTAAACAACACTGTAGATTTGTGGAACCTCTTCTATAGAAGAGGTTAGAACTGGCAGGAACCCACCCCTGATCTGCACATAAGTTTGTTTTAGTTTTCTTCTGTACACCAACTTAATCAATTAATCTTGCCTAATTGCATTTGCCAAAACCTCCATCAATAATGCAAATAAAACTAGGGATAAAGAGCAACCCTCTCTCGTTTCCAGGCTTAAAGTTATTGCTTGTGTAACACCATCATTTATGGCTATACTTGCTTTATTCTCTGAATATAGTTGATGTATCACTTGTCTAATTCCCCCCCCCAAAAAAAACCCTCTCTATTAATATCTTCAATATCCATCCTTTCTTAGCAATGGAAAATCTGGCACCAATATGTAGATTCTCAGTCAACCATGATTTCAATGGATTTCCAGAAAACATTAGAAGCATTTCGTTTCAACGTGAGGTGTGGACAAGAGACTCATCTCCAACAGGCTGCGCCTGTCTTGAACAGTGAAGGGACACAGGACAGAAAACATCCTGCAACCACGAAGTCTCTACACCCATTTGCACTACTCAGGTGAGCCTGAGGACTACAGAATAAACCTCCAGGTGGCCTCAGAGACTCCCCGAAAGGATGCAAATGACCAGCTATCTGCAAGGACTGGGAATCCTTCCACCCCCCACTCCCCCCACCATCCAGTCAGACCTGAAGAAGCTTCTTGGATGAGAAGAGAAAGGTCTTCAAAGACAAGCCAGAAAGTCCAGTTGTCTCCTGATAAAACATCTCTTGTCAGGGTTCCAAGTAACAGACCCAATGCAATCAAAACTCCAAGGCCAACCTGCTCCTCAAACATTTATTAGGCAGGTCATATTGGCACATCTGGTTTTCCCCACCTACATTAAAAATCAAAGTTCTCTCCCCCCCCAGTCCACATGTCAATCACATGGTCCAGCCAGGTCACAGTCCCAACTCCAGCTGTTTCAGTCCACGCCTTCCCAGCACCTGGTGAGAATGTCCTTGGTTCCCAGGAGAATGAATTTTATTTTGGCTACAGATCCCCAGATGTCTCTATTCCCCCCTCCTGTTCCCACACCTCCCAGCAGCCTTGCTGGGGCAGCCATGTAGAGTTTCCAAAATGGCTTCAGGGTTGACAGCACTAACACTAATTGCCATTGCAACCTGAGAACCACCCATATTATTTTCTATTTCAGAAGAGGGCTGGAAGGGTAATTTCCCCCTTTCTGGACAGTTGGCATCCTTGACAGCTTGATGCCTTTACCAGCAGTTAAGTCATGAGAGGTTTTCCTGGTGGGGGAGTTTAAGGCATTGCTGCGGATTCAGATCTTTTCTAACTGCAACTGAAGAGGGCAATAAAAGGTTGGCACCTTGGGACTACAACTCACCCTCTGCTTGCAGCTCTGACTTTGCCAGCCCGAGAAAGAACTGTGCAGGAGGAAGACACCTGGGCCCTTTTCAGTCTGGTAGGGAATCATGGTGGGGAATGTAATGGTGTGGGAGTATGTCAAATGTCAAGGCTTTTTGCTATTTGCTATATAAGGGGTTGATTGGTTTCTGTATTTTATTGCTGCAATCCGTGTGGTGTCAACTTGCATTGGGCTGCAATACACAAATTCTTAATAAAAATGCATATATACATACATATTTATATCCCACCTTAATTAGATGTAGAAATACCTCAAGGTGGCAAATATACCTAATAGAGATCTAAGAGCTTTTTCTCTGGCGCAGCATGGCAATTTCCCTCGACACAGGGAAAAGGAACAACCACACAACTCCAGAGAAAGGAAGAGAAGATCTCCCCACTCATGTTTGATACCAAGACATGTTTGACTAAAAAGAATAAGGCAAGAAATAAAATGGTTAATTTCTCAACTGGGCTTCCAAAGAGAGAAGAGAAATGAAATTCAAGATTCCTCTACAGATACCAAATTTTGCTTCATATGGAATTTCTTGTGTGCAATAAGAGAGGACTTTTGTGTGAAACACTTCCCACAATCTGGACACTCGAATGGTTTCTCCCCTGTGTGTAACCTTACATGATTTATAAGGCTAGACCTAATACTGAAATCTTTCCCACAATTGGGACACTTGAACGGTTTCTCCCTTGTGTGTGTCCTCTGGTGTATTTCCAACTGGGAATTCCAATTGAAACCTTTCCCACAATCTCGACACTTATATGGTTTCTCTCCGGTGTGACTCCTCTGGTGTATAACAAGCTTAGAATTCTGCTGGAAACTTTTCCCACAATCCGGGCACTCATATGGTTTTTCTCCAGTGTGAGTCCTCCGGTGTATCAATAGGTTTGAATTATGACTGAAATCTTTCCCACAATCTGGACACTCATATGGTTTCTCCCCTGTGTGTACCCTTACATGATTTATAAGGCTAGACCTGATACTGAAATCTTTCCCACAATCTGGACACTCATATGGTTTTTCTCCTGTGTGAGTCCTCCGGTGTACTTCCAACTCGGAATTCCAATTGAAACATTTCCCACAATCCAGACACTGATATGGTTTCTCTCCCGTGTGAGTCCTCTGGTGCATCACAAGCTTAGAATTCTGCTGGAAACTTTTCCCACAATATAGACACTCATATGGCTTCTCTCCCGTGTGAGTCCTCTGGTGCATCATAAACTTAGAATTCTGCTGGAAACTTTTCCCACAATCCAGACACTGATACATCTTTTTTCCAGTGTGAGTTCTTTGGTGTATCATTAGGTTGGAATTCTGACTGAAACTTCTCCCACAATCCGGACATTGAAATGGTTTTACTCCTGTGTGTGTTCTCTGGTGTCTCACAAGCTTAGAACTCTGATTGAAATCTTTTCCACAATCACTACATTTATACGGTTTCTCTCCTGTGTGTGTCCTGTGATGTACCACCAGGTTGGAATTCCAACGGAAACTTTTCCCACAATCCGGACATTGATATGGTTTTTCTCCTGTGTGGGTTCTCTGGTGTATCACCAGGTGGGAATTCCGAATGAAACCTTTCTCACAAATAGGACATTTATATGGTTTCTCTCCTGTGTGCGTCGTCTGATGTTCCACCAGATGAGAATTTTCATGGAAACGTTTCCCACAATCCGGACACTGAAATGGTTTTTCTCCAGTGTGAATTCTCTGGTGTATCACCAGGTGGGAATTCCGAATGAAACTTTTCCCACAAACAGGACATTGATATGGTTTCTCCCCTGTGTGTGTCGTCTGATGTTCCACCAGCTGGGAATTCCAACGGAAACTTTCCCCACAATCTAGGCATTCATACGGTTTTTCTCCTGTGTGAATCCTCTGGTGTTTGACTAGGTAGGAACTCTGAATGAAACGTTTTCCACAATCCAGGCACTCATATGGTTTTTCTCCTGTATGTGTCGTCTGGTGTTCCACCAGGTGGGAATTTTGACTGAAACTCTTCCCACAAATAGGACATTCAAAGAGTTTCTCTCCAGTGTGAGTCCTCTTGTGGTTCACTAGGTAGGAACTCTGACTGAAACATTTCCCACAATCCAGGCACTCATATGGTTTTTCTCCTGTGTGAATTCTCTGGTGTATCACCAAGTGGGAATTCCGAATGAAACTTTTCCCACAAACAGGACATTTATATGGTTTCTCTCCTGTGTGTGTTGTCTGGTGTTCCACCAGGTGGCAATTTTCACGGAAACTTTTCCCACAATCCAGACACTGAAATGGTTTTTCTCCTGTGTGAATTCTCTGGTGTTTCACCAGGTGAAAATTTTCACGGAAACGTTTCCCACAATCCGGGCACTGAAATGGTTTTTCTCCTGTATGAATTCTCTGGTGTATCACCAGGTGGGAATTCCGAATGAAACATTTCCCACAAACAGGACATTTATATGGTTTCACTCCTGTGTGTGTCCTTTGGTGGGCCACCAGGTTGGAATTCCAACGGAAACTTTTCCCACAATCCAAGCAGTCATATGGTTTTTCTCCTGTGTGAATCCTCTTGTGTCTCACCAGATTGGAATGAATGCTAAATCTTTTGCTACATTGGGAGCACTGATAGAGCTTCTCTCCAGTATGGGTTCTTTCATGAATCATGAGGAAGCTTTTCCGAGAAAAGCTTTTGCCGCACTCCAAACATTTGTATGGCTTTTCACTGGATGGATCTTGTTGTGCAGAATCAGACGTGATCTGCAAACTGTTTTTGTCCCACATTAGGCAGTCTGGGTCTTTTTCCCCAACACTGATATTTCTAAATTCTTGAGGCATTGCAAAACATTTCTGATCTCTTGCCTGGTGATTTTTTGGTTCAACCATTCTTTCCTTCCTGAAAGGCTTTCATTAATGCCTGCCAATTTTGGCTATACATGGAACCTTTTTCTTCCTACTGACTTCAAGTTGTTCCTCACTTTTTCTTTATTTAAATATTATCTTCTTTGATTTCTCATTTAATTTTTTCTCCAGTTCCATTTGCTCTATTTTTTTCAGTTGAAAATGTTGTTCTTGTTATTTTTCCCCTCGTCTCTCATCTGCTGACGAAGAAGAGTTTTTAAACTTTCCAGGGGAATTGGAAAATAGTTTGAATGATGGTTTATTTTGCACTTTAATGCTGCATCTCATTCTGTGTTGTCCAGAGTGCTCTTCTTGGCACCGTCTCTCTCTGTAAGATTAATATAAATGCGTTAGTTTCATTATCGTTTAAAAAATGGCTGCAGGACATATGAAAGCAGCAAAAGAAAACACAACACCCCATCCCATATATTAGCATGGAAAAACAAACACTACAATCCTATTTTAACCTCTGATATTAATTATGATTCATTTGGCATACAGAAGCCTAACAAGATTCAAGTTCAAATATTGACGCCTTCATAAAATTCTTTTTCAATCTATCAGTCAATCAGAATACGATTGAAAGGGATCTTGGAAGTCTTCTAGTCCAGGTCCCTCCTCAAGCAGATGTATAATATTCCACTTAAATTATTGACTTGGGTAAATACACTCATGTATGCACGCATGTGAACACAGAAATACACACCTGTGGATAATGTAGACAATCTATGGGTATCTCGGTGTGCAAAATGTCCCAAAATATCTCAAAATACATTTGCTCAAATTATTTGATCTAAGTTTAGAAAGGGGGGGGAGGAGAGGACCCTAATAGATGAAAAGGTGCCCACCTCCTATTCAAGATATAAAGGGTCTATTTTGCCCATGAAGCTCCTCGCTTCCCAGGAAAACCAGATGTCAATAATAAATCACAAGAAATCAAAAGGTAGGTGAAAACTGGTGTTTAAAATGGGCGTTTGAGAAATATGAAATATTATTTTTAAATCTCCCAGCAGAAAATCACAGGCAGAAGTTTTAAATCGTGCAGCCCCAGAGGAATAAAATTTGGGAAGGGAAAGAATATGCAGCAGCACCAGCCCAAATGTTTCATCATTGCCCTTTCGCTGTTTCCAGGCCGTGGAGGAAGCCAAAAGGCCCGACTTTCTCCAGGCTTCTCCTCCGACCTTCCCTCCACTCACCTCCCAGGAGCCGCTTCGACCCTCCAAGTGGCATAAGAAGCTCCGCTGAGGCCATTATCCTCCCGTGGATGAACCGGAAGAGGAAGTTGCTCTGCCATTCGCCTCCTCGTCTTTACATCCGCTGTTGTTCTATCGTTTCACCCCGTTCAATCTCAGCCTTACCTAGAATAGTTCAGTCGCCGCTGTACCGAGTGTTGCTTCTCTGTAGCGCGCCATCTAGCGATATAAGGCGGAAGAACATGCTCGTTCTACCTTAAGGCGTTTAAAGATGTTCTCATTGATTCGGTGCTTCCTTGTGTGGATAATCAAGTCCTATTCGAGTCCCATGGAGCTCATCGATAGCTTTTCTCCCTGAGGGTCCATCCCCAAACTTTTTCTTCCATGTCATCCAAGAGAGCCTTCATTGTCCCTGGACCTGAGCCTGAAGATTCATTTGACAGAAACGGCAACTAAACCAAAGGAAAGCTCCCTTTCAGGGGTGGAGTGTGGGGCTTGAAATGACATGCAAATAGGAAAAAAGAAAGTGCACCTCCCTTGGTTCCAGCCACCTTTTCCTCGGAGAGGTTAGAGGAGTGTGCAGGATAACTGCTGAAAACCTCCCTTCTGGACAGTTAGCATCCTGGCTTTATGCCTTCAACAGCAGTTTGTAATACATAGCAGTCGAAGGCTTTGCTGCAGATTAAAATCACTTATAAATTCAGCTGAAGCGGGCAAGGAAAGGTTGGCAACTTGGGACTTCAATTCACTCTTTGCTTCCAGCTCTGACTTTGCCACCTGGAGAAAGGGCTGTGCAGGAGGAAAGACACTGGGCCCTTCCCAGTCTGGCTTCAGGCCAGGGCACATCACCAAACGTCATTGGTTGCAATTCTCATGGACTGTTGGAGGGTTTGAGATAGATGGGATACAGTCATTATGTCCTTCCTAGACCTTTCATCTGGAGTCAATAACAATGACCATGACATCCTCCTGGACAGGCTTTCGAGACAGGAAATGGGAGGAGCTTTATTACTCTGGTTCTACTTCTGCTTCTATCCCCGGTTCCAGTCCATGTGGATAGAAGAGGGACCGAATCTTGACCCCTGCAATTTACAGTGCCTCAGTTCTCAAGGCTTTTGATGCTGATTGTGAACATCTATCTGAAACCCCTAGGACCGTGATTGCGAAGCTATGGCACACATGCCACAGGTGGCACGTTTGTTAGGGAACGCGAGGTGTTGCTCTGTCAGCTCCTGTGCATATGTGCACACCGATCATCTGACTTCAGCTTTTTTGGGGGTCGTCTTTTGCCCTCCAGAGGCTTTCTTGAAGCCTCCAGAGCACAAAAACCCAGCCCTACAGGCAAAGTGGAAGTTTGGGAATTGACTTCCGGTTTGCTCGTATGGCCATTTTTCGCCCTCCGGAGCATTCAGAAGCCTTCAGGAGGCTTCCCTGAAGGCTCTGGAGGGCAAAAAATGGGCCTATGAGTAAACCATAAGTGACTTCTGGTTTGCCTATAGGGCCATTTTTTTGCACTCCGGAGGCTTCAGGGAAGCTCTTGAAGCCTCCAGAGGGCCTCTGGGGGTGGGTGGAGGAGGCTGTTTTTGCCCTCCCTAGGCTCCTAGAAAGCCTCTGGAGCCTGGGGAGGGCAAAAAAGGTGTGCCAAAAGCGGGGGGAGCACTGGTCACATGGACATATGCACGGGGGGACTGCATGCATGCGCATTGGGGTCATGCACATAGCATTATGGGTGTGACATGCCTGTGCACGATTCCCCTGCGCTTCCCCCACTTTTGGCACAGTGCCCTAGGAGAAGCCATCCATAGTACGATACCCAATTATGTTCCCGTAGTATTGGACATAACAGTTCATTAATGACCATTTGAAGTTAGACAGCGCTGAAAAGGTGACTTATGACCGTTTTTCACTTACCACCCTTACAGAATCCCCATGGTCACACAATCAAAGTAGGGATCCTTGGCAATTGACTCACATTTGTGACAATTGCAGTCTCCTGGGGTCATGTGATCACTTGATTGGTATCTGTTTGTTGTTCATACATATTTGGTTTTAATATGGTTTTAAAGTTAATTATTCATTGGGAGATGGCTAGCCTTTGTTATAACATGAATGGCTACATAAATATTTTAAATCAATGAGACAAAAAAGAGATTAATCCCCAAAACTGCCGCCTGTGGGCTGTCCTTGTGCAAGTTGTTTGAGGCACTCTACACATTTAATTATCAAATTTATTTGCTGCCAATTCTGCAGTCAACTTCTCCAAATTAATTCCTTTCAAGGAGAATGATTACCAGTTTGGAGAAGGAATAGCACCGAGCATGAATGTAATTAGTAAGGCCAGAAGGCCTGGTTGTCTTCTAATTTGAACAAAAGCAAGATTCGCCTTTTTGGAATTCCCAGTCGATCCAAAGGCCATCAACCTTGATAGAAGTGTGCTGAATTTGCAGGGCTTAGTACCGTATTTTTCAGAGTATAAGACACTGAAGTATTGGATGCTCCTAACTTTGGGGTGGGTGAAGGAAAAAAATCTGCCTCTGCCTCCCAGCAATTTGCCTCCTTGCAGCAAACAGCAAATAGTCTGTTTCAGTTTCAGTTTAGCCTGATTGGCATAAAGGAAAAAAATCTACTTCTGCCTTCTAGCAGAAAAGTGTTTCAGTTTCAATTTTAGCACAGCCTGATTAGCAGAAGCAGCTGATTGTCAGTTGGATCGGTCTCTTGACAATCAACTGTTTGAGGTCGCAGGGATTGCCATAGCCTATTGCTGCCTCCGCGCATCCCATTTTCAACCTCTGGTGTCCCATTTTTGACTTCTCTGTACCCCATTTTCTGCCCATTCCGGGCAGCGAAGATTAGAATGGGTGGAAAACAGGGCATGTGGAGACGGCGATAGGCAATGGAAATCCCTTCAGCCTGAAACAGCTGATGGGTGGGAGGCCAATCCATCTGACCATCAGCTGCTTGTACTAACCAGGCTGTTTGTTGTTTGCTGCAAAGAGGAAAATTGCTAGGAGGAAGAGGCCAAAGGGTGGGGGGCCAGCAGGTGGGCGGGACAACATTTGGTGTATAAAACACACCCAAATTTTCTCCCTCTTTTAAAGAGAGGAAGTGCATCTTATACTCCAAAAAACACAGTACCTGTTAAATGTGGAGGTTTTGCATTTTGCAACATATAGTGCTTATTTGATTTTGTATTAAGGTATTATTGCTGTAAACCATGCAGAATCACCATTAGTTGGGCTGCCATATGAATTTTCATGCTAATCAAAAATACAGAACAGAACAGAATAACAGAGTTGGAAGGGATCTTGGAGGTCTTCTAGTCCAGCCCCCTGCTCAAACAGGAGACCCTATACCCATGATGGAGAACTTATGGCACTCGTGCCACAAGTGGGATATGCAGCCATTTGTCAGGGCAGGCGAGGTGTTGCCCTGTCAGCTTCAGCATGCATACGGGCACTGGCCAGCTGACCGGCTTTCATTTTCGGCCTCCGGAGTCTTCCCTGAAGTGTCCGGTGGGCAAAAAACAACCCAATGTGCAAACCGGAAGCCCTACTCGGCCGAAGTCCCTCTCCCTGAGCCAGTAGAAGCAGCAAGCACCAGGCCACCATCCTTTCTGGGTTAGCGTTAAACTCAACCCTACA